CCATCATACAAGCTATGTACAGGTTCTCCAGCAGTTTAAAACACACAAGGCTTGCTTCTTTATTTATGACACTTGAACTCACACCTTTTTTTAAAAAAAATCATGTTCGGAGGCAAATGGTGTGTGGCCTGGAGAGACCGCTGGTTCATGTCTTAAGTTGGTAGACAAAGTGCCAATTCCAGGCAGAGGCAGGTGATCTGAAACATTCAGAAATTCAAAGAAGACAGACAAGTTGACGGGGCGGTATTTGGCTGGGAACAGAGGAGGTGCGTTTGTTTAGCGCTTCAGTCTGTTTGGTTCAGTCCTCAGACTCAGGAACGAAGAAGGCTGGAAAAGAAGAAGGTTGAGGAAATATATTGAGCCCGTTGGACTCCTGGGTTGATCAAGTGCTAATACCATCCCTGGCCACTTGCAGGGGGGGCGCCACCACACAGTAGAGACCCATCCTCTGTCTTAGAGCCGAACAGGAAGTTGGACACACGGAACCTGCTTCCAGACTTTTTTGTTTCGTGACCCCTGCCACCTTTCACCAAATAGGAATCTTTTAACTAGTAGTAGTAAGAATAAGTTACTCACAGAGCCAAATCTTTAAAAGGCTCTAGAAAGTGGTAAAGGCACAAAGACAGCTTAAGAATAGTGAGATACACACTAGATTTCTTCCTGCTTCAAGGAGTTGTATTTTTTGTGATGGTTTTGCTCAGTTTGAGCAGTGTAGCCAGTCTGCTGTTCACGTTCAGTGCAGTGTGATTACAGTATTTATAGAGTATAAGACTGCCGTTTTGAGGATGTTTCAGCTATAACAGGGCAAGTTTTTCACTGTGGTGACTAAAAGGGGACTCCGTTTGGAGAAGCGATGTATTTTGGAATGCTACCAATTGTGAATACACAAGAGAGAATGTTACCAATTCATGCCTGTTTATGAACTTCCCAGGAGGACCACCTTATTGTCCCTCTTGAAGCGGGACACTTGGGCCAATCCTAAAAGTTGCATTTTGTTTGTTTGTAAGTGAGTTGCTTTAGAGTACCACCTGTTGTCAATTGGTAAGATGCTGAAAAGTGATAATTCATCTCTCTCCAGGTGTTTTTGGCACACTTTTACCAGTCCCATAAAGCCACCTTCCAACTTGCTTTGTCCTTAGATGATGGTGAGGTTTCAACAGCAAGTTGGTGGCTGAGGAGAGGTGATTAGGAACATAGTTTATAGGTTGGTTTCTCAGACCTGATATTTATTTTCAACATTGGCAGACAGTAGCTCTGTAGGGTTTCAGGGAGGGTTTCCCCCAGACTTCCCTGGGCATGCCAGGAATTGGACCTGAGGCCTTCTGCATGCAAAATGGTGGTTTTTGTCTTCTATTTACAGCCCTTCCCAATGAAAGTCCATCACTTTTGAACTTGGGGCACCAAGCAATGAATCTTGGTTGTGATCTAACCTGACTGGAGTGGGTGGGGGTGGGAAAAATTATGGAATTCTTTTTGAACTACAACTTCATTTTCTACACTGACTCAAGGATTCTGGGAGCTGTAGTCCAAATAATTCTTCCAGTGAGGCACCGGCAGTTTTTCACTATAACTAGGTATAACTAGGCACTCAGTATGCCGTCAAATTTGTTGTTTGGTGGGGAATTAATCTATGAACAATGAATCTGAACCTATGAAGTATTGATAACTAGCACTGTGTCATCTTATTCAATGTGTATCCCAATCTTTTATTTATCCATTATTCGGAGTGCTTTGTGTCAGTAACCACGCCCCACCCTGAAATAATTGCAAAATACCTTCTTAAAGGGCAAATAGATTAATAAACAAGATTAAGAATTAACTTCTGCTTCTTTTAAAACTGGGAGTGAGCAGTTAAAAAGAGATGCCAGACCTCCAATATTCCTGCACAAAGTTATTTTTCCCCCATTTTAAACCCAAGGGCAGATGTGATCTCAGTGGTCATTAGCCTTTCCTGCTATATCCTTCCTTTGGACACAGCCTGATGTGACTTCTGTCTGTTATGCTGAGCTTGCCCTTGCTCACCAGACATGTCTTGAATGACTTCCTGTCTGTGGCTGCAAGACTGGGCAAGCCCCTGAGCAGCTGGCGGGCCAAGAAATATGGCAAGTTGCGCCGATCATGGTGGGTTCAAGTTGTGCAGATCAGTGGTTATCCACTGAAGCTGGATGGTGCAAGATTTGAGACAGACTAAAAGGAGTTAATGGACTTCATTGTCACTAGATGTAATGATAGCTGCCAAATTTGGGTGAGTGGGTGGGCCCTTTTGAAAGGAGACTGGTACATTATACTAAAAGGAGTTAATGGACTTCATTGTCACAAGATGTAATGATAGCTGCGAAATTTGGGTGGGTGGGGCCTTTTGAAAGGAGACTGGTACATTATGCAGGTTAGGGCCATCAATAGCTACGGGTTAGGAGGACTATGTGTCCCCTCCAAAGATAGAGACAGTATCCTCATATCTGTTAGCTGCTGAGGAAAGTGAGACAAAGGGTGCCATTTCCCTCACGTCCTTCAGGCAGCTTTCTCATCACTACCGCGTAAGAAGAAGGTTGGGCTAGACCAGTGGTTCCCAAGCTTGAGCCTCGACATGTTCTTGCACTAAAACTCCTAGAAGCCTTTGCCACCAGCTGTGCTGGCAGAGACTTCTGGGAGTTGCAGTCCAAGAACATCTGGACACCTAAGGTTGGGGAACCTTGGGCTAGAGAGCTCTTTGGTGTGATCCATCATGGATCATCTGATGTTTTAAGGCTCTTAATGCTTGTGTGGCAAACATGACTCTGGAAAGAAAGGCCTTTTCTTCATGCACTCTTTAAAAAAATTTAGTCTGCCCGTTTTGAATTTTAAGCCCCAAAACGTAACAGGGGCATTCCTTGTGCCTGAGTGCTGCTGGTCACTTCCTCTAACTTTGTGAGCCTGTTGTTTATCTGTACAATTGGGCCTGAGTTGGAAAGGAAAGACCAGAGGAACAACGATTCTCCCTTTACCCTACAAAGCGGGCCTTGGCGCTGTTGCCGCCACTCATGTGACTTTGCGCAGTCGAGTTTTCCCCCATGTGAAAATTGGCCATTGGGTTCCCTCCGCTGACTTCAACCAAAATTATTCTCCGCTCAAAACCGAGGAATTGGTGGAAAGGACGGCCATGTTTTCCATCTTTAGGAAAGAGTGCGCGGTGGAGCTGGCAAGTCTAGCGTGGGAACGGCGTCCTCTCTTTCCTGCTGAAGATCTAGGAGATAGGACAAGATAAGAGAAGACAGGAGTGAGCGAGATGGATGCAGCTGCAGAGAAGAAACGTCCGTCTGTTTCCAACCCATACTCAGTGTTTCCATCTGAACACTCTGGGAATTCTAGCACAGACGTGGCGCTGGAAACTGTACAAGAGTGTAGAAGAGAACACACGCTTTGATTCCCAGCTTGTGTGCTGGTAGAGCTGGGGTAAGACACTGTTTAAAACCCCGAAGCGCTGCTACCAGCCAGGGTTGATGGGTGCTGGAAAGGCCAATGGGAAGACTTGATAGAAAGCTGTGTCCTGTATTCTCAGCATGAGATTATTGGTGCTTTTGCAGAGTCATTGATTGATCTATGTTTGCAAGGTAGTAGGCATCTCTTCAGAGGCATCGGTCCATGAATCTAGGTAGAACTAGGAAATAATTTTTCCTGAAGGCCAGGATTACTTTTGCTGCCAGCCCGAGTCGGTCTCGATAGCCTTATTCTAAGGCGGGTCCCTCTACAATTAAGATTGCAGAGAGGTTTATATGCAGGATGTGTAAATTGGTCAGAACGGTGAGGTCAGACTTTTGAGCAATGTGTTTTACATTAATGAAGAGTCTCATGATGAAGTGAGTTATTGTGACACAAACTTTCATAGGATGCCAATTTTTTTCCCTCTTCAATGCGTGGTGACTGCTGGCATAGTCGTCTCTAGCCCATAAAAGCATATGCTAGTTTTACTGCAGGCGCTAACGTGTTTTTTAATGCTTGGATTTCAAATTAGTGTTTTTGTGACTTGTAAAATTTACCACAAATATGAGATGAGCATTATGACCCCCAGAATTCTTCTCTGGCTCAGATTTCAATCTGAGAAAGTTTTGAGTCCTCTCTTCCTGTAGATGGTCCAGCTATTGGGAATATTACGTTTCCCAGGGCTTCTATCTTGGAGGAAGCAGAAGGAGAAACCTCATTTGTGCCTCTGCTGGTGGAGCAACAGTATTCAAGGTAATCTTCTGATACCCTCACGCTGTGCAGAATGAAACATGGTCCGATTTGGGCTTGGGATGGAATGGGTTAATTTTGATGGACTAATGCCATGAAAGAGAAAAATTGTTTCTCACGCCTGAGCAGGGGTGCTTTGCCCCAAACTCTTTCGTCTGTTGGGTTCTGCAGGACGGTTTCTCATATTTGCTGCAACAAATTAGCCTCCATCCTGGGGGAAAAAAATTAGGGTGTCAATTTCACCGGTTGTGGGCGATGAAGCAGAGCTGACCTATACAGCCCCGCATGGTGCAGGAGGCCAGCCGGGCCCCCTGTTTGCTGGCCTTCCGCAAGCAGGCAAAGACCTTTCTCTTCTGCCAAGCTTTCCCTCCGTGACTGGCTGCCTGCAGGAGGTTTTTAGATGGATTGTCAGGCATTATTGCTTCCACCCGGTCTTTAGTACTCCTTGTGTTTACTGTTTCTCAGAGTGGTATTTGTTTGTTCAATATGTATATACTTACTATTGTCTTTCGCTTCAAGTATTGTCTTTTAATGATGTAAACCACCACTGTATACTCATCATTTTCAGCTTTAAACATTGTCCTTGAGTGGTTTAAGCTGTCTTGGGTCTTTTTAAAAGGAGAAAGGTGGGATAAAAATATTTTAAATAATAATAATAATGCTTCCCATCACCACAGCTGATACAACTTCAGGGTAAGACTCTCCTTCACGTGGGCAGTTTGGAAAGCTATGGATGGATTTTAAAAAGAACCTTCAAAAACATGCTTTGCTCTTTCTTTCTTTGTTTTAAGGAAATGCTCCAGGACAAAAGCTTGTCTGAACCAGAGGATGGGTTTGCAGCACCTCAGGCTCCCGTCCATTCTGAGACCACCACAGGTTCCCCCGTCCTTGGCGTAGCGGGAGTCAGCAGCACGCCTCTGAGTAGCCCACAGGTTCCTGATCCTGAGCAGGTATGTGTCCCATTTGAATGTGTCCTTTGAGAGACTGGAGTATTGCTGTTTCACTTGGGGAGGCGGGGAGGAAATCCATGTAAGGACCACTAATTCTAATTATTGAACCCTGCCCTCCTCCGGAAAATTATTTTGTTGCTTACTGGCTGGAGTGAAGATTAGGAAATAAAGGAGACTTGATTTTCTGGGGGAAAGCTTTGTCTGATAGGTCAATCAAGAGATTCTCGCTGTTTGTGGAGAAGCAAAGAAACTCAAGTAAGCACAATGGGTGTCTCACTTCCACAGCCGTTTTTGGAGAGGAGATGAGAGAGGGCTTTCTCCATGCCTGTCCTCAGACTGTGAAACTCCCGTCCACTAAAGTGGACCCCTTCCTCTTGCCCCTCCGCCAGGAAGCAAATATGTTTAATTAGACAGACTTTTGGCCACTGACCAGGTGCTTAGAAAGGGTCTTTTTTGATGTGTCAATTTCCCTTCTTTTTCTGATTGGGTTTTAAATTGTTTTAATTCTCTCTGGCTTTGAATAAGATGACTTGTTCTCTTTCTTTCTTTCTTTCTTTCTTTCTTTCTTTCTTTCTTTCTTTCTTTCTTTCTTTCTTTCTTTCTTTCTTTCTTTCTTTCTTTCTTTCTTTCTTTCTTTCATATATAGTATAACTAATTGTGCTTCTAGTTATATGTTTTTAATTCATGTGGCGAGCCTTTTTGGATCCTTTACTGGAGAAAAGCAAGGCATAATAAAAGAAAATAAATAAAGAGTGATCAATACCAGCCAAGTTATTTTGGCATATGAAGTGGAAAATGCCAAAAGTTGTTCTCCCCTCCCTGGCAGTAAAAATGCAGTAACAACCAAGTATTTAACTAACTATTGGATGTCCCTTCGTGACAGTCAACATCTGTTGCCCTGAGGTAGTTGATTCACCCTTGTCCAGTGGCTTGGCTGGCTCTGAAAAGGCAGGTTGATTTTAGAAGCAAGGGCCATAGTTCCACTGTGAAGCTCCTGTTTCACTTGCAGAAGGTTGTAGGTGCAGCCCCCGGTGCCTGTAATTTAAAAACAGAAAATAAAACAGAAGAAACAGCTCGTCAAGGAAGGACTGCTTTGGAGCAGCTGCCAATCAGAGCAGGTGGCACTGGGCTAGATGGACGAGTAGTCTAGAGTTGATGTGAAGCTTTCTGTGTTGAAGATGGCCTTCCTTAAGTGGCCTGCCTAGTCAGATCGGTGCATAGTGCTTACAAATGTCAAACATAGGAGTTGATGGTTCTGCGCTTGCATGCCTTCCTGCCAGTGTCTGTTTAGGATGGATAGCATCCATTTGGTAGAAGAAGATTCAGCGATCTCTAGTATGAAAGTGGTGGTGGAGGAAGAGGGTGTCCGTTGCCCCCCTGCGTAGTGGCCTGCCTAGTCAGATCGGTGCATAGGGCTTACAAATGTCAAACAGAGGAGTTGAAAGTCTTTGCTAGGACAAGGAGGAGCTGGCATGTTGTGTGTCAGTTGCTCAATTTACATGGGAATTAATTGAATAAAATGTTAGCCCCTTCCTTCCTGTGGGTATCAGTGGCCCTGG